GTAAAATTGTTTTACATAGAATTTTAAATCATAATTGTTATTTGCAATTGTGGACATTACTTTACGGCTTGTGGTTGGCATCCATCTGTCTCGGAAGACAATGGAAGAGTGCGCCTTTAGGGGTGAAGTCAAACTACTGGAGAGTTATAGCGCCTGATGTAGCTGTAGAGACTGATATGGGAGAGGCATGTTTTACTGCAACTGGGGCAGATGAAGACATCCAGTTGTGCTGCTGCAGATGCACCAGGGTGTTTCTTCTCTCTGCACTCCTCCCAACAGTCATTCCTTCTAGGGTCACTGCTACAGATGCACGACTTGACTGTCTCAAGGCACTGCAGTCATCTGCAAAGGATTTCCCACACAGCAAGACTGATATTGCCAGCCTTCATGTCACACTTGCAGACATCTTTGTAACACAGAGTTAGTCTGTCAAAGGGCCTAGTGCCTGAAGCCTGTTCCCTGTAGAGCACATCCTTGGGGAACCTGATCCTAACATCTTTTATTCTGTGGACATGACCAAGCCAGCATAGCTGTCCCTGAGACAAGAATGTGAGGATGCTAAGAATATGGGCTTCAGAGAGCACATCTTTGTTTGAGACTCTGTCCTGTAATGTGATGCCCAAAATCTTCCTGATGCAGTGCATGTGGAAGGCATTGGGGCATTGTTCCTGGCAGTTGTAAGTTGCCCATGACTCACTTCTGTAAAGGATACACAAGCCTGGTAGATCTCCAGCTTGGTACTGGACATTTCCCCATACCCTTTTGGAGAGGCGAGCCATTGCTGTAGCTGCCTTGCCAATAAATACATGTGTTCAGCTCAGCATCAATGAGGAGGTTGCTGGTTATGGTGGAACCCAGGTAGACAAAATCATCTACCACCTCAAGCATGTAGTCATCACTGCTGATGCTTGGAGTGCTGGCAACATCCTGACCCAGGAAGTTGGTCTTCATCAGGCTGATGGAAAGGCTGAACTCCTTGCAGGCTTGGACAAAACAGTTGATGAGTCTCTGCAGAGCTTCCACAGAGTGTGCTGTCAAGGCTGCATTATCTGGAAACAACATCTCTTGGATAAGGATCCACTGCACTTTTGTCTTGGTGCAGAGACCATACCAGGTCGAACAGACCCTTGTCGCTCCTCGAATGTAAGGAGACACCATCTTCAGTTGAGCTGAAGGTGTATGAGAGCACTGGGGAGAAGAATTTGCCAAAGAGAGTTGGGGCAAGAGCACAGCCCTGTTTCACGCTGTTATATTGCTCGGTGCTGCATTTGTTATCGTTGAAGGATATCATCATCTTGTGAAGCTTATACAAAATAAACTTAAATCAAAAATTGAAAGTTCTGTATAAAAATTCCTGCAGAACACAATTTTTATTTTTATTTGATTGATCTCTACACTAAACCTCATTCTCTTAATTCAAGGCAAGAATCCAATGGCTTAGCATGCAGAATAGGGTTTTTCAAAAACCTTTTTCTTTGAATAGCAGACCTCCATGCCATAGAAAACTGCTTGCAACTATTATTATTATTATTATTATTATTATTATTATTATTATTATTACCCTGCCCATCTGGCTGAGTTTCCCCAGCCACTCTGGGCAGCTCCCAATCGAGTGTTAAAAACCATACAGCATTAAATATTAAAAACTTCCCTAAACAGGGCTGCCTTCAGATGTCTTTTAAAAATAAGATAGCTGCTTATTTCCTTGACATCTGATGGGAGGGCGTTCCACAGGGCAGCTGCTACTACCGAGAAGGCCCTACTTTTCAAACTACCCTCATTTTCAAATGTAGTTCACCATGTGACACAGGATTATGTTGTCAGGGGGCAGGGGACATAGCCCAAAGCTTCCTTAGCTGTGCAGAACTAGTTATATGGTACTATGGTCAATGTCTCTTAGTTTGATGCAAGGTCGGTTCTTGCCCTATTTGCTGTGTTCTCAAGGCATTCAAAGTTAATGTGTGATGAAAGCCACCATGTCTCATGTGCAAGCATTCCCCATAAATGTCTGAAAGGGCCTTATAACTGTGTTCAGCTGAACATTGTTAGAACCATGCAGATATTTCCAACGTGGTTATTTAAATACTTCCTTTTCAGCATGGCACAGGGCAAATTAGGGGTAGAATGCATGTGCCCGTGCTTCTGTCACACATTCTTCCCCACGCCATGCAGGACTTCTACCCCTCATAACTTTCAAATATTTGGAATTCACTATTTGCTGGTATTTGTTATTGTTTAGGGTTGCCATGTGTCCTCTTTTTCCAGGACACATCCTCTTTTTCATAGGTAAAATTTCTGTATGGGCAGATTTTTAAAATTTGCCAAAATGTCTCTGACTATACTTTCTGGATGAGACATAGACATAACTAGTGGCTGAAGACTTGCTTTCCGCTTCTCTTCTCCTGCCCCCCTCAGCAATATATCACAGCTTCTATAGCCAGCATATATTTAGGGTATTTAAAATTAGAGTCATCATGGCATCCTCTTTTTTGCTCTTCAAAATATGGCAACCCTATTGTTATTTGTTATTTGCTTCCTAATTTTTAACCTACTTTTATTAAATATTTTCTCTCAAATGTTTACAAATTAACTCTCTGCTATACAGATTTGCTACAGGAAGAAACCTTGTCTAGTCTTAATTGTACTTGTAGGCGCTGCAGTCAGGATCCGAAAAGATGTGAAACAAATGGAGCAAGTCTTTGGAGATATTTTTTTTTCAAGCAGCACCTCTCATAATTTTATGCACACTGTGAGTAAGCTGTTCTGGACACAGTGCAAATTCTGAGTAAAACTACATGGGCTTGCTTTGTAGGAGGACTTTCAAAAGCAGTTTGTGATGTGGCATAGGGGTCAGCTCTCCTATAAAAATGGATTTTTAAAATCCACTGGGTGAGCAGAAACTCTAGGAAGCTGCTTGGATTTCATCTGTGTAGATAATAAATAGTAAATTCAGATAGCCACATGAAGAGTTCCCTCTCTCTCATTATGTACACCTATACACAAGCCACAGAGCAGTTTGCATTTGCTCTCCAAAATATTAGGACAGCTAATATTTCAAAATAATTTAAAACTGTATTTATTAAGCAAACAACCAAAGGTCTCAATAAAATGACTCTTCACCCTGTTCTGTGTCGTGCAAATCCCACAAGGGTTGAAAATGAGTGGAACATTATTACACTAGGAAACAAAACAAGTGCCAATGAAAACACTTCAGTCCTAAACAGTCCCATTGCATAACCCTTAATTATGTTATCTTTTAACAGCTACTGCATCTTTACATGACTGTTACAAAGTTAATGCCAACAACACATTGCTTGTGTAATTTCAAGCAAAAGAATAGATAAGTTAGGAATGTGTTTCAAATCAATAAAACTGGGTGTGTGTGTGTGTGTGTGTGCGCGCGCGCGCGCGCGCAATGGGTCCATGTTAGTTCATAAGAAAATGAAAGGGGGGAAACCCCACAGTTGGGCAAGACTTTTATTAGTATCAACCAGCAGATTTTGGCTGTACAAAATCTAACATTTCCCACCATTTTTGAACCTATTTCTGGAACCAATTCCAACTGATGTAAATACACATTGACACACTGTGGTAAGCCATAAGCCATGACTTGCTGTGAATGAGCAGCATGCTAGCGCACGCTGAACTGCTCCTACCTTTGTTCCTCCCTCCCTGGAGCCAGGAGGAACAAACCATGAGCCTTGGTTTACCGTGATATAGGAACCAGCACTTGTGGCTTTGTTTCTCTCCAAACTGTGTCACCCACACGGAACACTGTCGCTCTGACCCAAATTGACAATCTGAAATCAACAGTACTTTGTACCAAAAGCTTTTTAGAATTTGGACTTGGAGCAGCAACTCATGAATACAAATCCCTGCATAGCCATGATCAAACTTGCAGCAGTGGCCTAGGGTATGGCATCGCATACACCAACCTACCTTGGTAGCTTGTTGTGATGATAAAAATGGAATAACCCCTGCCTATGCCACCAGGAGTTCCTTGGAGGAAGGCTAGGATGAAAATGTGGTAGATGTTGGGTCTTCCAACTGCATTACAGGAACTATGGTAAACATGATGTGCAAAAATGCCATTGGTGCCAGATCACTAAGAGAGTTGTAGGTTACAGCTCTGGTGAGATTTGCAAAGGAAAACCTTACCAGCTTTCATTACAAGCTTCTCTTCGATTTATTTCCCCCCCCCCCCAGGCTTTTTGTTTTTGTTTGCAGTCCTTGTCATGAAAACTTTTGAGAGAACAAGACAAATAGCTCGTTTAAGGTGGCCAAACTACCAAGGAGCTGAAAGCATCTTTGCCTCTCTTTTTCCAAAGGACAAAAGGAGCTTCACTGACTTATAGACTGAAGAGATCTGAAACATAACCTAGGAAACTCTACAATGATTACAACTTGCAGCTGTAAATGTCAACTCCGAGCGAGTTCCTCCTGTCCTCGGTGGTTCCGCTAAAACTGTTGCACGTCCCATTTGTCAGTCGACGAGGACAACAAGACTGACGCGGATGCGCAGTCTGGTCCGCGGCAGCGCAAACACAAGCCTGCCTCTATCGCCTGGCAAATCGTCTCCCAGCCAGTCGCAACACCTCGCACGCTCTTCGCTTTCCCCTCTCTGCGCAAACTTCAGCAGGTCCTTCCTGCAGCATCCTTTATGCAGTGCAGTCCTGGCCATGTTTACTCCGAAGTAAGCCCTCCCTGGCTTCAACGAGACTTACTCTCTGGCCAACCTGCCGTCCCAAGCACCCAGGAGGCACCCAAAGTTAACTGAAAGTAGCCCTACCCGACCAAAATAGGAACACCATATTAATACCAATACTAATGATACTAATAATACTAACGATTAAAGCTCCTGCGAGCTGTGGTGGTTATAGCGGTGTGGCGCACCAAGGCGCCCACTGACGGTCGCGCTCCCCAACGCAGTCGGTGCCAAAAGACCCTCAGCCAGAGCTAGCCAGGCAGAAGAAGAAGAAGAAGAAAAGGAAAACACGTACCTTTGCTGCGGCGACCAGCTGGAATCTCGGCCGCTCTTCTCACGCAGGGGGGAAGAGAGAAGGGGGGAGGAAGAAGGAGGAACTGCTCCTGCTCCTCCTGCTCCTGTGAGGCGCGCGCCCTTTCCCCTCAAGCCCCACGCTCTTCACCCGGCTGGCAGTGGAACCATAGCTCCCTCTCCCCGCCCCCCAGCCCCCTTCGGCCTTTATCCCAGCCAGCCGGTCAGCTCGGCGTCGGCGCCGTCTGCAGAGGAGCCTTGAGGCTGGCGGGCGCGCGGCGCTGGTGAGGACAAGCAGCGGGCGGGAAAATGCTGCAGCTTCTCGCTCGCTACCTGTGCGGCTACTAGCACTCCCTGCTGGGGACGCGGGAAGCGCCGGCTGGCCAGAGGCTGGGGCCAGCGTCACGTGGCGCCCGGGTCTCTCGCTACCAGGACTTATAACGCGCTCCTTCAGCTGTTGGTGCTGGTCGTGGGAACCTTGCTCGGCGTCTCCAGGGAGGGCTTTGGCCACCCCACCACCGGCACCTGCCGTCAACACAACACCTGCGCGGTTTCAGCGCCACCCAACGCCTCTGACCTTTCCCGCCACTTGGGCACTATATGCTCGTGACAGCAGTATTCGGTGGAGAGCAGCCAGGGCTCCGCACTAAGCTTTCAAAAAAGTTGTTGTCGTTTTCCAGGGCATAAATTAAGTACACATAATACGAAGTTAAATTGCACAATACTTAGGAGCATAAGGGAGGAATGGACATGAGCAGTTTGGTACTATTCTTGGGGGACCTGGGTATTTTATTTCTTAGAAATTTCGCACTGAGGACAAATGTCCACTATAGGTTTCACCACATAAACAAGAGTTCAATTTCCCCTAAAAGGCTGTCCCTGAGGTGACTGTAGGGACAAAGTAAGACATGCACTACTGTGTTCCATATTACTTATTCTTTCATTGGAAGTCGCCAAACTTTTAAACATCAAAACATAAATCTACACTGGTATTAAGGAACACAAAGAGAATACACAGCAGATAGCCAGGAATGGTGGATTATTTGACTAATGTTGCTTGCTGTGAGAATGAGGACAGAAGATGGGACTAGGGCCTATCAGAGGTCCAGTCCATTTCCATCTTTGGACACCCGGACTCACAACAAAAACTAAAAATGAAGAGTCAACACACAAAAACAATGAAAGGCATTCCTCATTCAACAACCAAACACTGCTTCCTCGATTGGTTAAGGTTCAGAGCAAAAAATAAAAATAATTGCCATGAATGCAAGTCTGAGAACTAAATAAACAGATTGATTGGGAGAACTTTGCATATTGTAAGCCCCTCGGATTCTCACTCCTAATCCCACTTTCCCATTGAATTCTATAGGACTTACTTCTTAGTAGACTTGGTTGCTGTCCAAGTGGCTTTTTTAAAAATATGATGGGGGGGCAGCACTTTTAAAAAAGAAAATCTAGACCTGCCTAGCGCGGTATATGGTTATAATTTGTGTACAATGCATACAATGCTATAACACACCTCTGTGATTCCCTCATGTGTGCATAAATGCTTGCTTCTTTAGTGTCGCATCCCATGGCATTTAGAAACCTGCACAGTGGTAGGAAATCCTCACAACTGGGGCTTTGGCAGCACTTAATGCAGAGAGGTTTATAGCCAAGCTTTGCTCACGAGGCACCTTGGAAGAGGTCAATAAAGTTTTATTTGGAGTGAAAGATATTAAAAAAGGACAAGAGAATAAGCCGCAGAAGCATGCACACTGTACTGCAGGCCTCAGCTCACACCTTCTTAGTACTCAGACTGTGAAAGAAACAGTGGCCTAGCACAAAATAGCTGCCACCTTCAATAAAAACAGAAAAAGAAAAGGGACAGCAGTATGAATTTGTACTAATAATGATGAGTAATACAGTGGTACCTCAGGTTACAGATGCTTCAGGTTACAGACACTTCAGGTTACAGACTCTGCTAACCCAGAAATAGTACCTCGGGTTAAGAACTTTGCTTCAGGATGAGAACAGAAATCGTACAGCGGCGGTGCAGTGGGAGGCCCCATTAGCTAAAGTGGTACCTCAGGTTAAGAACAGTTTCAGGTTAAGAACAGACCTCCAGAACGAATTAAGTTCTTAACCCGAGGTACCACTGTAATAGTAAAGTTGATGGTATCAGTGGTGTTTGTGCCTTTGCGCTGCAATCCCTAGACCTTGCTGGTGGCAAGCATCAGGGAACAGATCAGGATGATAATGATGCCTCTGCACTGCCCACCACAACTTTGGAACAATTCCTGCTACAGGGCAGGCAGCAGGAACAAGAAAAGGTTATCATCCCCACCGCTAATGTTCAGCAGAGGTCAATCTCAAGCAGTTGCTTCTTCCCCCACTCCTACATTTTTTGAAGTCCCTCAAGTAGCTGCCTGCTACTTGCTCTGCATGGCTGGCAGGCAGCAAAGCAAACACAGCAGTCCCCAGGCTTTTTTCCTCCACCCCACCCACCCCATTCTAACACACATGTTATAAAAAGTTTCTCAGGTAGTTGTTTGATGTGGCCAGCATGGAGCAGAGCAAATACAGCAACCAACCAGCTGATCCCTGTGCTTGTTCCATCACTTCCAGCCCTGCATTTCCCTTCCATGGTCAGATCAGTTGCCCACGGCCTGCTCCACAAGGTCAGCAAAGGAAACAGGAGCTGAATGTGCTCCAGTGCTTCTTCTCCCTCCCCTCTTTTTCAGAAAGCCCACAGAAAGCATACCTTCTCCTATCCTCTTTTTCCCCTCCAAAAGCCCTTCCATGGGCAAAATAAAGAGATGGACAGCCCTGGTGCTCCCAACACCCTCCAAATAAATAAATAAAATGGGTAGCAACCATCCTAATTGGTTGCTTGCCTTGCAAGTCTCTCCTGGCATAAAGTGCAGCTGCCCTGTCTTGTCCTTCGCTCCAAAGAAGAGAGGAGTTGACACCACAACCAATTTCAGAGCAAGAACTGGCAGCAAAATAAATGCAGCAGCATATGGATTGACCTTTGTGCTTCATCTCTCCCAAAGCAAAGAGCTAAACAGGCCCTAGCACTGCTTCTCTCCCCTTCTCTTTCTATAAAGCCCAGGAAAAAAAGATTCAGATGGACAGAGAGGAGGTGTGCAGATCTAGTTCTTCCTCCACCTGGCATAGCTGTCAACGTTTCCCTTTTTTAAAGGGAAATTCCCTTATTCCGAATAGGATTCCTCGCAAGAAAAGGGAAAAGTTGACAGCTATGCCACCTCGACATCATCTCAAAAATGAAAAGGAGAGACCATCTTCTCACCATGAACATTTTCAGTGACTCAGCCTTTCCTCCGGAGAGGAAGGGGAGATGTTAACAGCCAACTGGACTACTTAATTTACTTTTTTACATTGTTATCTTTTTCTCTTTTTTTACATTGCTTAACGTAATTCAACTTCTGCATGACTTGCTGGCAGAAGTGGATCAAGAGTTAATTAAATAAGAAGAGATTACAGCGCCACTGAAGGGTGGCCCCATCGTGACAGTCAATTGGTTTGAGCGTTGGGAACTTTTTTTAATAGCCAGTAAAAAGCCGGAGAAATTTAGTTACTTTTAGCTAAGTCATTAAAAAGGGTTGTGCGTAAAGCGGTTCAGTCCCTTCAGGTCAATGGGACCTGACCATCGCATAAGGCAAGCATGCTCAGTATCATGTAAAGTGTAGAGGTAGGAACAAAATGGCAACTGAAACAAAATATTTTGAGGAACTACAAGATCTTTTTTCAATTATATCATTAAAATTGGTAAGTCACAGTTTATAATTTTCTGTGCAGAGAATTCTTAGATCAGACAAGCGATCTTGGGACATTGTTGACAGATAATACTTTATCCTTTGTTAGTTTAGAAAATGATATTTCACCAGTACAGTTTGTAACCATTAAACACAGGAAAAATCTGAAAATTGTTTCTGCATTTGGAAAACCTGTCCAAATTTTCTCCTGGAATATTATTTGATACATATATCTTGGTAGCTAAAATTTTCATTTTCTGGATGAGCTTGTTTGACATATGGTTGGGAGTGCAAGAGTTCACTGAGCAGACTAAGGTCAACATTCTTTGGATATTCTTGCATTAACATGTCGCCACCATTGCGAATCTGTTGATAGCAAAATTCACCAAAAATGAAAAATTGCCAGCTGGATTCCTACAACCTGTTGCTTTTCTGTCTTGGTTGGCTTTAAGAGCATCCATGACAGAAATAAATGAATTTACCCTAAATTTGTCTCTTGGATAAATTTTGTCTAAAGGTGCCGTCCCATCATTGGTTTTTTCATAGTCTCTGACTTCTTCTGATAGTTTTGTACTCTACATTCAATAGAGCAAATTTTGCTTGCTGTTCAGTTTCATCAATATTAGCAATAGTGTGCTGGAAATATTTACACATATGCTCAATGAAATTTGTGAACTGTGGAGTGCCTTGCTAACTTGTTAACAGACTACCTGTTCTATACAGTAAGGAAAAACCAAATGCACAAATATAAGATGTGTGGGATGTAATCCACTGGGAACAGTCAAATACAACATTCCTTGTTTTGCTAGAGTGGACATGTAAGGGAATGTTTGGTCCAGCCAGTTGAAACTTCCTGTTCCTCCTGGCCTGGAGCATACTTCCTTGCATGTGACTAGTGGGTGGTGGGCATGATCTTTCCAGACCTGGTAAAAGGACAAGGCATTCTGCCACTCTCTCTCTTTTCCATCTTCCTTTCATCCTGCGAACTTCCCGGACTGCTAACTGCAGTCACTAGGTCAACCCACATATGGGGTAAACCTGTTTGTATATTTAAGCCTTAAGCCTGCTTTCAGGGATCACACTGTGCTCTGCCTGATCATGAGTAAACTTTCTTTTTATTGCTTATGAATAAGACTGTGGTGTCTTTATTCTTTTAGGACAAGCCAGATTGAATTGCGTATTGTCTTAAGAAACTCACACGAGTTTGCAACTAGTTTTCTGCTGTGCATGAGAAGGGGAATGTAAACTCTGCTAAGTAAAGGAACTTGCTAGCGCAAGTTAGGAAGGTTATTAATAAACAATATATCCTCTCCTGCCATCCTGAACATTCCCACAAGATGAATGATGTAACTACCTAGGGAGAAAGCTTTTCAGGTTGTACCAGATAATAAACTGAACATTAGTCAATAATGTG